AGCGAGTTTGGCTCTGGGGAGGGACCTGGCCTACGAGGTCCTCCCTCTCAGGGGCCTGGGCGTGGACAAGAGCCTCCTGGAAAACGTGTATGAGAGCATCCAGGAGATGGAGGCGCCTGGGCACCTGGAACCCCCCAGCTCCAACTCCTACCAGGAGAGGACATGTGCAGGGCATGGAGACCCCCTGCTTCCTGTCTAAGCCTGGGGAGGGGTCTTCATCCCCTCTGCCCTGAACACCCAAGTACAGATGATCCTTCCTCCAGAGTGGGGTGCGACCCCTCACTTCCCACAGAGTCCCCTCCCCCACACGCGGCTAACAGCACGAATTCCGGATAGCAGTGCTGTCAGCCTATGGGGTCCCTAGGGTCCTGGCTGCCATGTCCTCTCTAGGGCAGGGTCTCAATAAAGCCCCAGCTCAGGGAGCATGAACACTGCTATACCTCAGCCTGCTCTTCTTGAAAGCCTGGGAGGCTTGGCGGGGTGGTGTCCGGAAGGAGTGAAAACCTCTCCTTGGGAATGGGCTTCCTCCCGCTGGGGGTGCTGGGTACCTGCGCCCTGTCACCTGGGGCCGCCGGCTGGTCGGGCTCAGAAGACCGAGTGGGGAGGGAGGCAAGCCCTGGCGGGCGGTCCTCAGGCCGAGGGGCTCCTCCGAGCGGTGAGCCGGCCCACAGGGTGGCTACCCCAAGGTGGGACCTGAACCCTGAACGACAGGGAAGGCTCTGCCACCCAGCCTCTGGAGTTACATAAGGGGCGCGGGAGGTGGGCAGTCGTGCGTTAAAGAATAACCTGCTCCCGGGAAGGCCGCCAAGGAGACGCGGCCTCCTCCCGGGTCCGGCAGCTCGCGCAGGGGCATCCCTCGAGGAAGCCGGCCCGCCCCGGAGCGGCGCGGGAGCGGCCAGCGCGGGAGCAGCCAGCCAGGGGCGGGGTGTGGCCGCAGGGCGGTCCAATGGGCGCGGGGGGACGGGCGGTCCAATGGGCGCGGGGGGGGGGCGGGCCAAGGGGGGCGGGGGGGGGGGTCCCCGGGGGGGG